CCTTCAGTTACAAGCATGTTTAGACGTAATCGCAACTGGTGTACTTCTTTAGTAAGTTCCTCCAGTTGTTTCATTATATTTGGTATTTGTGCCATTAGTGACTTACAATCGACACATAAGAAAGAAACCACTCGAGCTATTGTCTTTAACTCGAACACTCTTACTTCCGTTGGTGACATTCCATGACAATCACCACATAAAATGCTCTTACAGGAGTCACAACTTACTGATAGCTTCTTATCGTTTGTGGTTTTGCTACATTTGGAACATTTAAAGCTTTTTGGACTCATTTTATTTTTTTATTTTTTACTGATTTAGTAGAAAATTTCTTGTAATGGCAACACTATTGTCTATAGTTCGCTTTCATTGACAGAACCGGAAATCAAATGTAAAAGAAAAATAAAATTATGAAGGTAGATTTTAAAAGTTCGTAATTCACGGGAATAATTTTTTTCAAAGTTTTGCACCTTAAGTTTATAATTACAGTGAGAAAACACTAGCATATTTTAATGTATATTGAATGATTAATGCTGCCGTGTAGTGGCGGTTAAAAATATCCTATTATATCTTCCCGTGGGTGTCGTAAAAGCCAACAGAGGGAAACAGGCAGGAGATGGGCAGCAGTGTCTTCCTGATAACAACAACTGTACAAAAAAAACTGCGGTTGCCAACCCGCTCGCCAAGCGTGGCAACTATGACAATATACCCCCCATGAACAATTACACAAATAGACGGCCCCAGTCCCCGGCGGCCCCACTATTCCTGGCTACGGTGGCGACCATGGTAACGGCGGGGCAGGGGTTGCTAAGAATCTCCGGTGGAGGTTCGGTTGCCACCTACGACTCGACCTGGCAACATTTAACGCACGCACTCTGAGGACTGACGTGAAAATCCTGGAGCGGGAAGAAGAGATAGACAAGTTGCGCTGGAATATTATAGGATTATCCGAGGTCCGAAGAGAGGAGGACACGGTAATTCTCGAATCCGGCAACTTGTTCTATCACCGGGAGGGCGACCATCTGTCTCAAGGAGGTGTTGGATTTATCGTCCACAAGTCTCGTTAACAACATTTTAAAAATTGGGAGTGTATCGACGAGGGTTATACTCAGAATCACCAAACGGTATTTGCTGACGCCAACTGTTCAGTGATGTCTAAGTGATTACAAAGGTGAAAACTGGCAGCGATCACCGAATGGTTAGAGGCACACTGAACCTAAACGTTAATTTGGAGAGGTCTCGTCTAATGAAGTCAACGCTCCGTCCCCCTCGTGCTCTTATCCACAATCCCGAAACCTTTCAGCTCGAGTTACGTAACCGCTTTCAGTGCCTAGAAGATTGCAATGCAGTGGACGATATGAATGACAAGCTCGTGGAAACTGTCCATGCGGTCGGAGCTAAGTTCTGCAAGACCCGCCGCAGAAGAACACAAAAACCCTCCGATCACACTCTTAATCTCAGGGTTGTTAGACGGAAGATGTATTAAAGTCGCGAGACTTACGCGACTTTAATACTGCTCGTATTAAAGAAGCGATCGAGTGGAACCAGGGCTCCAAAGTCTTTGCCAGAGATCTGTCTGCCAGAAAGAGCCAACTGTCGAAGCTGAAGACTAAGTATAGCATCATCGTTTTCGAGACACCTGAGATTTTGAGTGAGATTGAGAGGTTCTATGGGCAGCTGTACACATCATCGTTGGAGCCACACGCAAGTGTGAGTAACGATCCAAGAACAAGTCTTATCTGACACTATTCCGATTATATCCCGGACGTCAGTCTGAGCGAAATTAGAATGGCTCTCCAGCACCTTAAAAACGGCAGGGCCCCAGGCGAGGATGGAATTACAGCGGAGCTTCGTAAAGCGGGTGAAACACCGGTACTTAAAGTCCTTCATAGGCTCTTCAATATCGTCCTCCATGGTGGCACTACTCCGGAGGCGTGGAGCAGAAGTGCGGTGGTCTTATAAGAAGGGCAACAGCGCTCTATTGAAAAACTACAGACCGATTTCTCTTCTGAGCCGCGTCTACGTGCTGTTTTCGAGAGTCATTACGAATCGTCTCGCACGCAGTATCGACGACTTCCAGCCTCCCGAACAAACCGGTTTCCGAAAAGGCTTCAGTACCATAGACCACATACATACCCTGCGGCAGATTGTACAGAAGAACGAAGAGTACAATCTGCCACTTTGCCTGGCGTATGTAGACTATGAGAAAGCATTTGATTCCGTCAAAATTTGGGCGGTGCTACAGTCCCTTCATCAGTGCCAAGTTGACTATCGGTATATCGAAGTGCTGAAGTGTATGTACAGTAGGGCTACGATTGCTATCCGAGTACAAAACCAGAGTTTAAAACCTATCCAACTAGAGAGGTGTAAGACATGGTGAGGTTATATTCCCGGAACTCTTCACCGCTGCATTGGAAGAAGTGAAAGCTCCAAAATCCGGAGAACTTACGCTTCCGGTCCTGGGGGGCAGGTTTTAGAGATGGCAGCCCTATCTATGGGCCACTAAATGGTAAAATGTCATTCCCAAATTAATAATGAACCACCTCTGAAGTATAACTTACTTTATAAAAAAAGAGTCATCAAAATTAGTTTACAATTTACGAAGATTAAGATCACGTAACATAATAATTTTTAAAATAGGAAAATTACATAATCCTCCAATTTTGGAGGGATTCATGTTCAGTGAGATATTTTTAACATGTGCTAGTGACAATCTCTAATTGTATATATGTACAAATAAACAATTTGAACAATTCAAAATGTTTCTTGTAAAACCTACAGAATGACAAAATTATATAAATTAATTATAATTTTTATTTTAAGGCGAAACAATGGCTGTTAAAGAAGAAGTGACTTTACCATCACAGAGGACCTGCATTCGATGTAACTTTGTATCATCACAAGAGGTTTGCAAGGCCTGTGTTCTTCTTGAAGGCTTAAACAAGGGTTTACCAAAACTTGGTATTGGAAAAAGCTCAAAAGCGAAGAAAATGCTGGAAGAATACAATGCACAGCAAACAAATTATAAAGAATCATTACAAGCAGCTGTAAAAGAATTGGATGACTTTCAAAGTGAAAAAGAATTGTGTATATCAAATTCCAAGAATTGTAAGTCTGGATTGTGTAAGGGTAAAACAAAATTAAACATAAATAGTTTATTAAACCCTAATGATTATACAAATGGTAGTAATGCACAGGAATGTTGTTCTAATTGCTCTGGAAACTGTGAAAGAACTAAAGTTAATGCCTACGTTGATAATCCTAAAGTTAATACTTTATTAGAAAAGTATGTTATAAGTGAAACCAATATTGCAAAGGTCAATGGAAAAGGCACTCTTCGTGACTCAAGTAACACTGATAATAATTTGAACAATTCAGATGACGAAGAGCTTACAGATACAGAACATACAGATACACATATAGAACAGGAAGACGAAACATGTTCTGCCTCCTGTGGTAAACTGGGTGCCTTACATGTAGGATTTTGACAAATTATAACTAAAATATTGTAAATTAAAATACAATAAATTATACATGTGCTTATGTAAATTAAAAAATCATTTAAATAATTTATATTGTAAATAATAAAACATGTTTACGTTTAAAATAATTTATTTCTTTGATTTTTTGCACCATGAGCATTAGTTATAATTAACTACCAGCATCAGTAATACAACAAATAATACTTTGTAATATTTATTTTTATTTTTTTGGTATTGCACTATCTATGTAGCTGTCAATTCATTTCCAAAACCGACAGACCACCCAGCCTACGAGACATGTAAGGAAAGGCGACAGATTTCTGTACTTCATCTGCTCAACCAGAGCCTATATAGTTGAACACAAATGCTACCATGTTTAGTAGTGACCAGAAAACAGACCTGTGCACTGCGTCCTGAGCACTACAATTTTTTATAATAAAAAAACAGTAAAACAGTAAATTGGTATGGTAGTGAGAGCAGGTAACACAATTTCCACAAAGTTAAAATCACATTTCACCAGTAAGTGCAATGTTTAATAATCTTAAAATAATAAAAACGTGAGGGTTCAACTTGTTCTGGTCGTTGTTGTGAGGCTGTCTTTGTCAAGCACGCAGTATTATAGTAGCGTTTCTGTCTGTAGCGGCGCTGTCGTCGCCGCCACAAGCGAAAACACACCGAAGCCTAAATCGCGCTAACAACATTCCGAATCATAAACAGTATATATAGAACATCTCCGAACTATCACACGGAGTGTCGGCCGCTCCCCGGGCAGAACACCTTGCCCGGCGGGAGATCTCCCCTTTTCCTTCACGGCCACATGTCTATCAATCAGAGGGGCTGCAGGCGGCACGTGTCAGTAGAAATGCCCAAAAAAGTATCGATGCAAGTTTACCGACTATTTATTGTGTTGTTATTTTTTGTGTAGATGAAATGAACAGTCATTCTATTATATTTGTGTATTAATCTATTTGTAATTACAATATGAGATCGAAATTACAGTTTTACAAACCCTAATTAATTAATAATAACAAAGGTAATTTTCGTTTACATTTTTATCTTACGTTAATTTTACCTAATGTAGATATTTTCACCTGACTGTCGCGGCCGAGGCCGAAGCAAAGTCATGGTTTTCTAGAGTATGTATTATGTTTGTGTATTTCTTAGGCACATTCCGCTCTTAACGGATTTATGGTAAGCGAATAGCGTTGTAAATGACATGTAAAACACATGTATATATTTTAAAGAACTTTACATGTATTTAACGGTGTATTTTACGCATCATTCATTTGTTTATAACTACGTTACCTTTTCATAGTCTCCCATATTTACGCGCACGATATATGTAACACATCTCTAAGTTACGTCTCCCGCACCGCCCGCACACCTTTCTCTCTTCTAACCTTGACAGACTAATTTAATTAGAGAATCGTAATGATTTCATGTCTCGTAGGCTGGGTGGTCTGTGACAAAACCCATTTTGCGTCTAATATAACACAACTTTGTTATAAAATTTAAAAGTATTTATGTGATGAAGGCAGGCGCTCGGGACTCTATTCGTTCTCTACATATGGGGCAATTGTCGGTGATATTGTCTGAGCAGTCTTCGCAGAGGCACACATGTCCACATGGCAGCAATATTATCTGAAGAAAAAACGTGAAATATCAGATTTATGTTAAATGTACACACATTTCTACTCGTACATTTTATTTTAGTCATATTAAGTAAGGTCTCTACAAAAAATGTGAAATAACTCTCCAAATATAAAAGTAAAGTTACAGCCTATATACGATCCACAGCCGGGCGCAGGCCCCGAAATGAGGGCATTTCTGAGGGTTTTAGGACAAGTAAGTTTCCGCCGCACTGTCCCAATGCGTGTTGGCGAACTTTAAATGCCTTCAAAATATTTTTTTCTTATTTCTAAAACATGTAGATTTCCTCATGATGTTTTTCTTCACCGCCGAGCACGTTTAACTTTAACTAAAAAGTCGATATACATTATTAATACAAATTTTCGTCAGTACATTTGTGGCAGATCCCTCGACGACTTGGTAATTTTCGACAGTTCACGGAAGTATTCCTGATCATCCCTATATTAGAGGCAATACAGTGGAGTTTAGCGGCCTCATGCAAAAAAAAAAATTAATATAAATATGAGAGCTGTGCAAATTGTCTATAACTCTGTTAAGTTTTTAGCTGACAACTTTTTAAGCGAAAATAAATTTGCACTATATTGCATCATTAAAATACTCTATTTATAACTCAAACTTGGAAAGTTTCAAGTAATCAGTAATATATATAATTCCAATTCTTTTAAATAAAATTTCTGTCGTATAATATAATTAATTTCTAAAATAAGAAAATTGAATTTTTAGCAAAATTTTCCATTGTAAGAGTATTTTCCTTTACGATTTTAATATATTTTTTACGGAATAATCACAAATCTGTTTAGGCGAAATTAATTTAAGTATTATGATTATGAAAAACTTTCACATAAATTTGCGGTAATGTTTACACAAATTTATGTGAAACATTGTAAAATCATAGGGTAATTTGCGACTGCAAATGAGACGGTTCTCGCTCCGGATGATGCTTCGTGTCATCGAATTGGGTAGGTAGGTAATGGATATGCGTGATATTTAAATCTCTATTTTTTATAGGAGAGGGGGCGAACTAGCATACGGTTCACCTGATGTTAAGTGACTACCGCCGCCCATGGACAACTGCTACACCAGGGGAATTGCAGGTGCGTTGCCGGTCTTTTAGAAAGGAGTAAGCTCTTTTCTTGAAGGTCCATAGGTCGTATCGGTCCGGCAAAATCGCAGGTGGTAAACTATACCATACCACACAGAGGTCTTACGCGGAAGAACACTCCTAGTGAAACGTACAGTGGTGGATAGCCAAGCATCCAGATAGTGTAGATGGTATCGGGAGGTTTGCCGCATAGTGCGTTTATGAAATTTAGCGGCCGGGATTAATCAGAACAATTTCTCAGAGCACTCCCCGTGATAGATGCGAAAGAAAATGCAAAGAGATGCAACATCTCTTCGCAGCGCCAGTGAATCGAGCCGATTGGAAAGCACTCGGTCGTCGACGATTCGAGCCGCTCTGCGCTGGATGCGGTCAAGTGGAAGGAGCTGGCACTGGGGAGCCCCAGCCCAGAGATGGAAACAGTATTTCATGAGGCCGAACCTGCGCCTTATAAAGTTGCAGGCGGTGTGCCGGCATGAAATACTGTCCCGCTCTGCTAAGCACGCCAAGCTTTTTAGAGGCCAATTTGGCCTTCTCTTCCAAGTGACCACGAAACTGCACGTCACTCGATATGTCGACGCCGAGGATACCGATACTGGCTGAGGCAACAAGGGAGTGCTTTGAAACCGAGGAGATACGAAAAAGGGGTTCTTTTTAGCGGTTAACGCGCAAACTTGTGTTCTGAGAGTTAAATTGGACTAGATTTAGTCGCCCCCAATCCGCGACTCTCTTCAGCAAAGACTCGACTTCAGACACAAGTTTGTCTCGGTATTCGGAGAAGTTTTTCCGAGAAATATTGGCACGGTCGGTGTACAGAGCATTACCAGTGCAGTCATCCGCATAGCAATGAATGTTACCGGTTTGCAACATACCATTGATATGCGGAAAAAATAGAGTTGGTGATAGCACGCAGCCTTGTGGAACGCCAGCATTAATAGACTTGAATTCGGAGCATGCACCATCTACAACGACCTTGATGCTCCGATCTGCAAGAAATCTGGTGATCCAATTTGCACAATTTCTCGGGAAGCCCATAGGAAGGGAGCTTCGATATAAGCGATTTGTTCCAAACCCGATCGAAGGCCTTCGCAATGTCCAAACGGCCAATGCCCATTAGTTTTGACAATTTGGATGACAGTTGACATTGAGGATTTTTATTTGAAAGCTGATGCTTCTCATGTAGTTCCATATAAATTTGATCAAGATCTGACCAGTAGTTTTTGAGTTATTCTTAGTAATGCGTATTTGATTGACTTCGACTACATTGATGATGTTGTCTTTTTTATTTTTAAGTAGCTTGAATTTTTTTTTTTATTTTACAACTTGTCGTCTGTCTGTGTCTGGGTTAAACTTTGGAATGGCTGAACCGATTTTAATGAAATTTCACGAAGAAATACCGTACAATGACAGGAATGACATAGGGCTATATTTTATCCTAAAAGCTATTTTTTTAAACCGATAAAATTATATAGATAATGGTCGTTATCTTAAATCTAAATAACGCCACATTAGTTTTTATCTTAAAAATAAAGTACCCAGGCGCAGTCAGGGTGGGTCGCGAGTCTGCAATAAAAAGTGAGCTGACCTCCTTAGGGTTCTCGGTGCAGACGACACACAGCTGCACTTCGGTGAGGTTCCGCTCCCGGGCGTGCGCGCGGCGCTCCTTGCGGCCGGCGGCCAACTGTCGCTTCATCGAATCCTCCAGCTCGCGTCTCTTCCGCCTCTTTAGATATTTGTACGCTATTCTGCCTGAAGCTAGCACCGCTACTGCACCGAACACTATCAGCAGGATTCTATAATGATAAAAGAAGTGGTAAGCGCTTGAAAGAATTCCCTATCTCGCGTCAATCCTTAAATCAGTTTAATAGACATAGGTCTCTTCCACAGCAGGCAGATTTTACCGTTCTCGCCGAATTAACGAAAATTATCACATCAAGTTTGTATTGCAATTAGGATCCGGAAATCACCGGTAGATTGTTATTATTTAATTATTCCTATAATTTCTACTGAGTAAGTTACCACTGCAGCTCAGAGACCCGTAGGTACAACCGATTACAAGCAAATAATTGATAGAATCAGGCGTTACTTTGCGGAAATCCATTATAAAAAATATTAATTACTTCGCAATCTTCCGCTAACTAAATACATGTGTCTTACCTGGATTGAAGAGCACCTCCCGCCCTCCCTTCATTGCATGCACTAACTCCGTCACCACTAGTCCCAGCACCACTACTCCCAACACCACTACTCCCGGCAACACTACTTCCAACACCACTATTCCAGGTAAGACACACCATCGACGATTATACGACACGTGGCATCCTCAGGTGATGTAGACTCTACGGCGGCTGACCGCTAATTACTTTTACTTTTTTTACTTAGCTTATTTTATTTCACTTATTTCAATAAATATATTATAATAATCAAAGTGGATCTCTAACCCTTAAAACTGCGACACAACAGTGGATGGTTCCATCTTTTTGAAGATTATCTCTTAGGTATCAAGACGAATTTCTAGATATCTTTGATACATACAATATTTTTCATTGTACTTTCATACCTATTTCGAAAAATTTCTTCTTCGACTCGAATACAAAGTAAATTTACAAATATTTTTGCTGTGTAATTGTCAAAAGGCTTTTTTTAAATATGCACCTTTTGTTCCGTATTTAGTGGGACTTACTGATATTATTAATAACACGCTACAAAAAAACACATAAGAAATGAAAAATATTTTAAAACAAAACTTGTAATCATTAATAAATAATCCTAAAACTCAACTCACATGATTGTGACAAACATGACGCGAAATTGGGACTCGATTAGGAACAATTAAATGCTCACATATAATCGACGCAAGCAGGTCGCTTCAATAAACGTCTTTATTACAAATGTTGCAATAAACGTATCAGACTAAATTCGTTCACCGTAAAGCTGTAATTCTCAGATGTTTTTGTAAATGAAAAAAAAAATTGGTTGTCTGTAAAGTCGGTTTACGGACGATAGTTTAACGTGACGACGTCATAACAAAATATTGATGAAATTATTGCATATTTTTATGAAAAATTGAATAATTTTAATTGAATTATCACTATTTACAAGCTGACGCTCAAGCCGATCGTGCCTTTCGTTCGCCCGTGCAGCACTCTCGCTCCGATCGTAACGTTACAATGAGTCATTCTTTTTCGTGCGTGCAGCGTGCGTTCATCGATTTATTAACCGTTGTCACGTCAAAATGATTGTACTTATAAACGCTCACAAGAAATCTCAATTCGAAAAATTATATATTAAGAATAATTTATAAGACTGGCTTACCTTAAGAAATCCCTAGAACTGGCAAGTCTTTTCAACAAACTGGATTTGGTAGCGGTAGTAAGGTATAATGGCAGTCCGTCTTTGGGCGGTTGTATTTTTAGCGCGCCAGAATGAGATCTACTGAGTTCTCCAATAGCTGTGATGTAGGAGCCATCACGGAGCATCTCTTCCATAGTTTGCATGCCACGTTGCCGGACGCCCGAGAAGAAGCCCCACACGTGGTCAATTACGCCAGGCGACATGGGCTCGAATTTGTCCGATATTACATCCAAGTCTAGTAAACATATTCCCTTATTCAATTTAATATATTAAAAATTTGTAAGAATACAAGATTTATAATAATATTTAAAAAAGTAATTATTATACAGTCCTACTCCCCGCGGTAGAGCCAAGAATACTGGTTGCGATTCCTCGGTGAATGGCTATACTTAACTTTCGAGCGAGAAAGAAACAACTTTCTTGTCACCCACGACAAAGACTAATCGCGTAGAGGTCCTTAAGAACTATCGCACGTGAACCCCGTGAATATAGTTATTTCTCAGAGACCATAAAGTTTTTAAACTATAAAGTTTATTTTTTCATAGAGCTGTGGTAGCTAAGGGTCTAAGCGCCTCGCATTTTTTACAGTAGGCGAGCAGCCTGGGTTCGATCCCCACCGGCACCAATTAAATTGTTTATTCAATTTTAAGTGTAAAACATCACGAGGACCTTGTAATGTCTAAGGAATGTATTATTTTAACATAGTCTATTAAAAATTGTAATGGCTTTACAAAAATCAGTCTGAGAAATAAAATATTTTGAGGATATGTGTGAAGTCCACCGATACTTATGGAGCAGCGCGTCGGTTTAATTGCTTAAAATATTTTTGTCAAAAATTAGAAGGCTGAGCCCGTGGCACATACGAAGAAAAATACATTTTTTGGAGTTACATTTTTTTTTGTTCCTCCATGACTCCACTAAACTTTAAATTACTTTAAAGATAGGATAGTTTTTTTGCCCATGAGTGACCCACAATTTTTTTTTGCGAATTTAAGGATTTTTAATAGGACATGACAAAGGGTCGTCGAAAACGTTAGAACAACGTCTGCCTGGCAAGCTAGTATGATGTAATTATGAATTAAAGTAAGCTCTTTGCCATGTAGTGAATTCTCATAAGAGAGAAGGGATAACCCTTCGTATCCATTATCCTGTATCAAGTGGCGACAGAAGGTGAAAATGAAACAGGAGATTAACAGAACATCTTCTCGACAACTCAAAAGGTAGCTGAGATCTTAGCTAATTAATTTTAAACATCTTTAATATAATGAATTTCCGCAAAGTAATGCCTGATGATGCCAACTATAGATATAAATAACCCTCCTAAGAGGCAATATATTGGGGCATAGGCCTAAAGTTCATTGCTATTCATAGGTTTAGCAGTGGACTTTCGATAGGCTGTAATACATTAATGATTGAATGGTTTCATATTTAATCCTTATGAAGATTTATTTTTAAACATACCCAATAATTCGGCAGCCAGTGCATCCACAACTTCAATACTGTAGTGTCCATTATTGAGCACGAATGGTGTTGAATTGCACACTTCATGAATTGTACGAGTCTGATCCGACCAAAACCCAGCGGAAGTTCTTGCTATGACATGCTCCTTTATTGTCAATCTAAAAATTATTCGAGTAGTAAAAGCAACATAGTATTAATAGTTGTAAAGCTACGCGGCAGCCTTTACTGTTGCATCCATGGGCCGGCTCGAACCGGGGTGGTACCACGACCTCACATAAGACCAGCGTGAAGTAGAAGCTCCGTTTCTGTATTTCGTTAGGTGACCGGAGGCCCAAATCCTCCCCTCTTAATATGGTAGCGGAGTTAACCTTTTGAGCGCCACGCTAAAAACGCATTACCGTGTCCTGTACGCCAAAGCGAAAAGTACACAAAAATACCTACGAAAAAAATAGTGTTGTCAAGAGTTGATGTATCGAATAACACAAAATAAATTGATTTTGTTGGTTTTTTATGCAATAAATGACTCTTTATAATCTGGTGGTCATGACTGAACAGTGTCATGTTCTAATTTTCTAAGTGCCATATTTAAAAACAAAAATCAGCTAAGTCCTCAATTTTTAATTGCTTTAGAGCATTAATTGAAGCATCAAATTTGTCCATAAATTTATGATAACCTCCTGTTGTGTTTGCGTTCACCTGTGTTAAATCCAATAGTTGGTTAATACACGTAGATGCGAGTGTGCGTTCGTCATTATATCTTCCTAAAAGCGCATTCCAAATAATGGAATCATTTTCTGCGGTAAGGGCAACCCGGCACAAACTGATAACGCCCTGTCACTCAATTTGTTAACCAAATAATAAACACGTTCGGCATCAGTTAATTGTAAATTGTCGTGAATTAATGTCTTAAATTGTTGATAAAACATGGACCACTGGCGTATGTCTCCGTTAAATGACATTAATTCAATTGGCGGAAGTGAAGTTTTTAATTTAGTAGGAAATCTATTTTCTAACGTGACAGTGGAAGGCGATGTGGATATTTTCGTAATTTGGCACTTAATACGACTATATAAATCTTCAAATGAGTTCCAAGCCTCGTAATCAACGTCTGCATTAGGGTTTAATTTTAAATGTTTAGTATTATAGTTATCTAGAACTTCTTGAAACTCACTACGTAATTGTTCTATATTCGAAGCGATGCTAAGAAATAAATTCTGCTCGTCCAAGGAATTAAATGCGCCCTTTGAGGTCTCGTAAATTTTTTGTAATCGTTCGTAAATATAATTACGTTTAGCGATAATAATTTTTAAACTAACTTCTTCATCCGAAACCAGTTTAGATTCTTTGCTTCTCGTCGTCATTTTTAACAAATAAATGCGGACTAAAATTATTGCGATAAGTGACGGTGGAATCAGTTAACTGGGGAACGAAACAATCTCGCGTTACTAGAAAGATGGCGGTTAATCAACAAGAAAAATATCATTAATGGAATAATGAAGCGGCGTGGTATGCGTTACAAAGGTATTATAATACGTGTAATAAGCGATGCGGGACAAATATAAATTGTAGTTAGTATAATTAGAACTACAATTTATTATGATTTAATAATATATACGTATATAATTTTTTGTAATATATAAAAAAAAATGAATTTACTTCTCCGGGCCGAAAGGTGAATTTAATCCCGGCCGAAGTGACCAAAAAATTTGGTGGGTTTGGCGTTTTGGTTTTAACGACCAAACTGCTGGTTCAAATGTATTAAATAATTTTATGCGGTGCGGCTATTAATTTAAATAGAGTAGTGGACTGTATATGAGCGCGGTGCGAGCGGTGAATGGAATTTAATTTATTCGTGATACTGCAAATGCCCTAAATTCGGGATATAGGAAGGACGTGAAGGAATGCATGTGCACCCACCTGGACTTCCGCTGATCTGCCTCGTGTCTCGATGGCTGCCGGCTTTCTTCACACTTATCAACTTCACAGATAATCTTCGCAGATAATCACGAAATATAGCGTTATTGCAAATGTCTATACTTTTTACTATATGCTTGTATAATTCAATATCCAAATTACACAAGGGCGGGAGCGATGATGCGAGATATAATGGCTGATTTACACAGGGTCAGTAACTGACTACAAATTCGAGGCAAGTCAGTGCTGACCCGAAAAAAAACTTGTGTAAACTGATTTGAAGTCAGTACAGTGGCTTGAAGTCAGCGCTGACTTGAATATTCGGACAGGAATATTTTAAAGTCAGTTGGCGCCCCCCGTCACCCGCGCACCCCCGCGCCAACCAAATAAACCCCGTGTAAACAGACAAGTCAGTGCGTGGTTAGTCACTGCCGCTGCGTTGTAGAGTGACCACGTTTTTTTCGCTGGCGATAAAAATGACGCGTAAGCTTAGCGAAGACGAAACCTTAAAATTGGTGGAATTATATGGCGAAAACGAGTGCCTTTGGGATATTAAATCCCTAAATTACCGCAATAAAGAAATGCGGTCAACAGCGTTGCAAAATATGGCTCAACAAATGCAAATCGGAGGGCTCACTTCTAATGAAGTAAAAAATAAAATTAAAGCCATAAGGGCTACATATTATTTAGAGCTCGACAAGAATACAAAAATCCACCAGATCTGGCGCTGGTGGGAACGTATATGTCCCAAAAATCAAGTGGTTTCAAGAACTGGACGGCTTTGTAAAAATGCTATTGTAAAAAAGGAAAACAATGGTAAGTATTTATTGTAACTTATTTATTTTATTTCCATCCTAGGTACCTATACAAAATTAATGAATTCTATCCAATTGCCATGGCACACTTCCAGCAGTCATAAAGAAGTTCCTATATAGGTCTCTTTTTTCTTTAGCAGTCATGGAATGGTTGCCTCTTTGTTGTTCTGAAATGCTTGGTAGTAGATTTATTTCCGATCTCCATGTTCCTTCTATTATTTGTCCATCATTGTCCTCTCTGTCTACACAAGTAGATGTTATGTAGGAACTTGAACGCTTTCGCAACCAATTATGCAGGGCACAGGCTGCACAGACAATGGCATCAACTGTCCACATGGGTTGGAATTGCTTTTTCGAACACTCGGAATCTAGAAACCAGTATACCAAAAGCATTTTCACTTATGCGCCTTGCACGCGACAACCTGTAGTTAAAGACTTTTTCGGCAGTACTTAGCTGCGTACCTGGATAGGGTTTTAGTAAATAATTCTTCAGTGGAAATGCTGCATCACCAACTATTACTCCATTTGTAGGAAGCAATCCATCTTCCAACCGACGATATAATGAGGAATTTTTGAAAACACCTCCATCAGAGGCGTTTCCATTCGCTCCAACGTCTATATATGAAAAACAATAGTCGTGGTCTACAAGTGCTAACAATACTGTACTATTGGTTTTTTTATAATTATAAAATTCACTTCCACAATTTGGAGGAGCTTTAATTATAATATGCTTCCCATCGATTGCTCCATAACATGAAGGGAAATTCCACTTGGTATTGAAACCGTCTTCAATAATTTTCCATTCTTCCTCTCGTTCTGGAATCTGTAAACAAAAAAAAATAATTACAACCTAAATACGTATTATCATCAACTAATGATTTATTAAACATTACATTTTATTCTCATTAACAGGTCAGAACCACAACGATGACGTTGAGTTGGGTGAAGCTGAGGGTATTGGTGACGGAGCTGAAAATGTATCAAGATCTACTGAAAATAATGATAATTCTACTGAAACGCCAACTCAAGCCATCCAGACGCCAGTTCGAAATTCTGTGACAGCTCCCAATCAATCTGGGCCTCCGCGATTAAAACGCTCCAAAATATGTCAGATGGCCGCCATGATAAAGGACTTAAAAAGTGTGTCAAATGATGTTAGCGTGTATATGTCACCATTTGAAGAAGAGTCTGACGCTGATATTTTCGGTAAACATGTGGCAGCTCAACTGAAAAAACTGTCTAAAGACCAATCCGTTATTGCACAAGAAGAGATCCAAAAAATATTATCCAAAGCTAGATTGGCTGATATACAACAAAAGAAGTATACAGAAAATGCACACTCTTCATCCCCTAACTATTTTATCCCTAGTCCGGCAGCAACTACAACAAGCAGCACAAGTAGCATGGGATTTTACTCCCTGGAGCCCAACCCAATGACTGCATTAAGCGACAACACCATAACATTTTACCCGCCAGAGGTTGCCGAGCCTGCCACTAGCAACAGCTCTTTAGGATTTCATCCTTCCGATCGATCAACGAACCCTACATTTGTAAACCCCAGGCAGGTTATTATTACACCCTCAGGTTTGAATTACAGCACCACGATCAACGAAGAAGCGGAAAGTGAAAATAACACTGCTGTTAACACGATTATGCGTGCCTATGAAAATTCTTAATACTATTTTGATGTTGTATTTCTTAATTTTCAAATAATTTAATAATAAAAATTTTCTTACCTTAATATGTGTTTTTAGTGCCGTATATATTGCCCAGCACACTTCTGGTATTAGTAGTAGAAATTGCTGGTTTTGAGACACGATAAAAGTGACTAAGGAACCGATAGTTCATTCCTGAAGCCAAAAATGTCAGCGTTATTTCCAGTTTAATTTTGGCTGGTAAAGCATCTCTCATGAACGTATCATGTCGTTGAATAGAGCTCGATATTATTGACAGCAATTCGTCAAAATTCTGTGGTGACATCCTCATAGCCAGTTTGTACTCCGCAGGATCTTCAAATCGCAATTGCTTCAGCAACAAAGCAGAGCCACCAGTTTCGTTTCTATCGTCAATCCATTTTCCTACCCATTGTCGTTTATTTTTAGTTATCTCATTTTCTACCATTTCTATTAACTCATTCAACAGCAAAATTGATAAAATTTTCAACAAATAATTAAATCGTCGTTTCAGTTGTTGTCGCGAATTCATATTTCCAACTGACTCCACACACGTGTGCTCACCGTGAGAAACGCACCACTACTACTTACTTCATGTAAACAGTTAAATTCAGTCGCGGCGCCGACATTAGCGCTGCGACTGACTTGTCTACTGACCCTGTGTAAATCAGCCATAAGCGATGCGGTTGGTTGCGTGTCTTCTCAACTAATATATAAAAAAAGAAAGACTGCAATTAGCACGGTGTGCAGCCCGTT